TCCCCTTTAAGTGTTCTTAACCATTTTTCAGACATGATTTAAACTGATTTCATATGAACAACACATATATTTATTTAACATATACTTATCATATATATTTTAACATACTGAATACTCTTCATATAATGATAGTCTATCTGCATCTTACGTTGTTTATAATTGACATGTGATGTCACGAAAACCTGAACTGAGAATATGGCATTGACATGTTAGCATGTTTTTTAGAGTGGAGCTTTTTATATAGATGATTGTCCATCAATAATTCTATTTTTGACTTTTTCTACTTTTTGAAAATTACCAGCTCAATTGCTTTTAGTATTTGGTATGTGGATACTCCATGTATGGGTGGACCTTTGTCAGATTTGTAACCAGATAATAACAATAATAATTGCCATAGCAACAACCATGCAAACTACTATTAGTTGTGATACAGTAAGAACATTGTGGGAATAATAACTCATCGTACAAAAATTTGTTTTTAGAAAGACACTCTACAAAGATACTGGAGGTACATGTATTTTGAGATGACTGTGAGGTCGCTTGTTAATACTTTTGACACAAAATTTGCAAACACATATAAACATGTACACGTATTTATATAAATGTTCATATTTCAGAAAACTACATCACAGGTATAATGAAGATGTTATGTAGTACATGATGTTCTACACCGGAACTACTAAGTTTTATTGAAAAAGCACTTATCAAGATGACTGGTAGAGACTACAGAACGTTTCTTAGTTTGCATCGTGGGGGGCCACGTGAGATTGCAAGAACTTCTGAGCAGGGTAAGTTGATGTATGATACATACTACAGTTTTCCCTGGCTTTATGTAAAACAATTTGAAAGATATCATTAGTATCTTAAGCATGCTTAAAAAGGGCAGGGAAAAGACAGTGTCAGTTGGGATCATATCCCACACGTGTGCACCACAACTCTGAATTTCAATTGAGTATAAATTGACCATGCACCAAATTGAGTCCATGTCTTTGTGAACTTCACTGTACATATAGACAAATAAAATTAATAATGTACAGAATAAATTAGAATATGTTGCTGTCATTCATAGAAATTGTACCTCTATTCATTTTCCATGATTTTATTTGCCTACAAAAAGTTATAGTGATTCAGAGTATCATTTTCCAAAAGCATACAAGCTTTTACTGAAACAATTCAACCCATAAACCAGTTTGAAACTACTAGTTTCTTGCAGGAGTGAGTACGGTGTAATGTTATTGCATTCAAAATTGTTTCATTTCAAACTGTGCATGCACACACATTTGTTGAAATGCATGCTACCAGTACTGGTAATTAAGTAACTTAAATTGTCACTGATAAAAGTTTTGAGCAATCATACTGGAGTGAAAAATCAATTTGCTTCTGCATTCTTCATGAATTTCGTCACTTGTTATGATCATATCTATAGCTACTTTCAACAGTTTGCTGAACTCATAAATATGTCTCAAAAAGAACACTTTTTTACATAAATTTTTCAATATTTAACAATATAATCAGTCAAAACTTTGAACTCCCACGTTGGCTATCAAAATCATTTTTGGCATGATTTTCTCATTGCTCATGAACTTTGAATTCTTCAACTAGAATTCCTACACTGTTACTCTTGTTACCAGTGTCAAATTTTAAATATTGAGTATAGTTACTAACTTTTTTTTTATCTTCTTCTCTCTTTTTTTCTCCTCTCTCTTTCATTCTCTTTTTCTGTGGGCTGTTATTTTGATTTGGTTATTGTTTCTGGGATACTTCTTCTAATTGGTTTATTTTTATTTGCTGGTATGTTTGTGCTGTGGTATTTTGCCTCCTGTTTTTTTCAAATATTAGATAAACTGATGGTCAGAATGACAGAGGGAATTGGTAGCAGCAGGTACAAACAGCTTGATTACGAGAAACTCAAAGCCATCACTTTTGAAAAGAAATTTGCAGCTAATGAATCATTGATGAAAATGGAGAGATTAGCTAAAGTTTCAAAACAGAGTAAGGAGCATCATCTTCTAAATCAGCACAAGTTAGTGTGGCAGCAAGAACAATCACGACTCAATCATGCTTTACAGCGAGCCAACAATGAACTTCAAGTATTCATGCAGGATGGAACACTGGAAGAGTCTTCCATATCTACATTAATGCTTGAAGCAGAAGAACTGCAAATGCAGCTGGCCATGGACGAGAAGAAGTTTCGAGCTGCCACGATTGATCCCATTCTAAACCTTAAGGAGGACCTTGGAGTTTGGCTGCAGGAGCATAAAGCTGAGCTTGAGGAAGGTGGAAGGGAGATCTACTCTGATTATGAGAGAGTACAAGACACTGTTGAATCAGTGAAGAATCAGGAAGAGATTTTACTGGATCGACTATCTGACGAGGAATTAAGATTACAAAGTGATCTTGACAATACAGCATTACAAGACTTATTTACTGTGCATGAGAAATGGGTCAACGATGGAATCCCAGAAGAAGCTGAAGATCTTGAGTGTCCGGATCCTTGCCTCAAGGAGTCTGTCCTCCAGGAATTTATATTTCTGGATGATAGGTTTAGAGAGAAATTGAAAGAATGGGATCACAGACATCAAGATATACTAAGGTATGAATTTACCATCATCTCTCCATTTATGGTGTCACTTTTTAATGGGCATTATTAGTCATTCCTTTGTCTTATGGCTCTTGAATAAAATTACTAAATGCAACAAGATAGATTTGGTTTCAGTTTTGGTTTGTGTATATTACTGCATGATTTATTTCTCTTACAAATTCATTTTGCATGTTTTGTCAAATGTTAGAAAAGCATGCACGTGTAATAGTGACTAGCAAAACATAACAAGCCGGTAGTCTAGTTGGCGATCCGCTCCGCTCAAAAACAAGCAACATGTTTATGGTTGTTTCCATGGTGCGACATAAACGTGAGGCTAACGTCGGTTTACAACTGAATGAGCACTATACAAAGTTCGCAAAAGCCATTCAGTCTTTAGAAGTCTGTTACGAGGACACATTCTGCTGTTACATTTATTATTTCCAACTTTTTTGCGATACTATTTTCTAGAATGAAGACAGCATTTATAGTTCTTTCAAAGTTCAAAGTTGCACTGGGATTATGTTGATACAGTGTAACAATTTCGGCGCCAGTGATCTCCTCCTGGTAGGAGGTAATACATTTGGGGCGAAAGTATTCAAAAATCTGTTTTTGGATGTTGCAATGGCAGTGGTGGGCCAGGATTTTTTTCCAATTAGTGACGGTACAACCTACCTGTGAAGTATGAACAAAATCAGTCGAGACAAAAAAATCACAGAGGAGTTGAAAGCCGTTGCTGGTGAAAAGTTACCCCCACTTTGGGGTCAAATTTCTCGGTAATGAAAAATGATATAAAAAATTCAAATAGTAACTTTGTGCCAGAACTCAAGCTGAGTAGTTAGAGCTATGTCTGAAGTGTTTTATCTTAAATTTGTAGGAGGAGATACATTTTGGCTGTTGCTATGGCATCGGTGGGCAAAAAAATTTTTCAGATTTTCAGATAGCAGAGCGGATCGCCTCACAGTGTGATTGGCCCCACTCATCTATGCCTCACAGCGCGATTGGCCCCATTCATCTATGCCTAACAGCGTGATTGGCCCCACTCATCTGTCCTCAAGGCGTGATTGGCCCCATTCATCTATGCCTCACAGCGTGATTGGCCCCACTCTTCCGTCCTCAAGGCGTGATTGGCCCCATTCATTTATGCCTCACAGCGTGATTGGCCCCACTCATCTATGCCTCACAGCGTGATTGGCCCCACTCATCTATGCCTCACAGCGTGATTGGCCCCATTCATCTATGCCTCACAGCGTGATTGGCCCCACTCATCTGTCCTCAAGGCGTGATTGGCCCCATTCATCTATGCCTCACAGCATGATTGGCCCCACTCATCTATGCCTCACAACATGATTGGCCCTATTCATCTGTGCCTCACAGCGTGATTGGCCCCACTCATCTATGCCTCACAGCGTGATTGGCCCCATTCATCTATGCCTAACAGCGTGATTGGCCCCAATCATCTATGCCTCACAGCGTGATTGGGCCCATTCATCTATGCCTCACAACGTGATTGGCCCCACTCATCTATGCCGCACAGCGTGATTGGCTCCACTCATCTGTCCTCAAGGCGTGATTGGCTCCACTCATCTGTCCTCAAGGCGTGATTGGCCCCACTCATCTGTCCTCAAGGCGTGATTGGCCCCATTCATCTATGCCTCACAGCGTGATTGGCCCCACTCATCTGTCCTCAAGGCGTGATTGGCCCCATTCATCTATGCCTCACAGCGTGATTGGCCCCACTCATCTATGCCTCACAGCATGAATTGCCCCACTCATCTCTGCCTCACAGCGTGATTGGCCCCACTCATCTGTTCTCAAGGCGTGATTGGCCCCATTCATCTATGCCTAACAGTGTGATTGGCCCCACTCATCTGTTCTCAAGGCGTGATTGGCTCCATTCATCTATGCCTCACAGCGTGATTGGGCCCATTCATCTATGCTTCACAACGTGATTGGCCCCACTCATCTATGTCGCACAGCGTGATTGGCCCCACTCATCTGTCCTCAAGGCGTGATTGGCCCCATTTATTTGTCCTCAAGGCGTGATTGGTCCCATTCATCTATGCCTCACAGCATGATTCGCCCCACTCATCTGTCCTCAAGGCGTGATTGGCTACATTCCTATGTGCCACTTGACATGATTGGTCCCACTCATCTGTCCTCAAGGCGTGATTGGCTACATTCCTATGTGCCACTTGACATGATTGGTCCCATTCATCTGTCCTCACGGTGTGATTGGCTATCTTCACATGTGCCACTTGACATGATTGGTGCCATTTATCTGTCCTCACGGTGTGATTGGCTATATTCACATGTGCCACTTGACATGATTGGTCCCATTCATCTGTGTCCCACAATTTATGCTGATTTGCTGTCAGTCATACCATGAATTATGGGAAAGTGCTACACCCTTTTTAGGGGGAGTTTATAGACTGCGGACAATACCAGCACCAGCAGGAAAAACATGTGTTGTTTGGGTCATGTATCATTGTATTATATGATTATTTTTATATATCAGTATACTAGTATCTATAATCTTGGTCAATGTATTTAACATAATTCTATTTTTGTATTTCCACCTGCAGATCTGAGAGTGGGGGTTGGACTGACAGTGACCATTATTGGTTTCAAGTAATCATAGACCAGTACCCCCATGAGATGACTAATAGAAGAATGTTGTATATTGACAGAATGAAACGACAGCTACCCCATAAATCAAGAGCTGAAGTGGTGAGTGAGACAGGTTTGGTGATAGTTGTAGATGATATGCTAATGAGCTTTACCCATCAGTAATTAGTAAGATAATCATATTGCTAATAATGCTTATTTTTGCCACTTACCAACTGTTAGTACGTTTGTGTTAGTAATGACACATTTTTAGAATATGACCTTTTCCTCAGACTAATTTATGATTTGAAATTACTCATATCGGAAAAACTTCATTGTACCCCCACCCCTAATCCTAACTCCAAACCTACAAATTCTTGCCATTGGCAATTAATTAGTCCCCGTTCGGATGAAGTCCGAAAACGGGGACTTACAATTCGGTCTCCGTGCGTCCGTCCGTTCGTCCGTCCATCCGCCCAGAGTCATATCTCAGAATCCCTTGGACCGATTCCGTTCATTCTTTGCATGTGCCTAGTACTTCATGTGGGACATATGCACATGTAGTGATTTAGCGATTCGATTCAAAATGGCCGACTGGCAGCCATCTTGTTTTTTGAACATGCTTTGTCAGTTTTCATTCAAACTTGGTATATAGATTATACATGTTAGGATACATGTCCATGACGATTTATTTCGCAATTGGATCAAAGGTGGTCGACTGGCAGCCATCTTGTTTTTGTTTTTTTATGCGGTATCTTGGACGTGCTCTGTCAGTTTTCATTCAAATTTGGCACATACATGTACTTTATACATGTTAGGATGCATGTCCATGACAATTTGTTTCAAAGGATGGCCAATTGACAGCCATCTGACTTTTTGGCCTTACTACTATATTTCCACAATTTATGTACCATTTTCATTCGTATTTGGCACATACATCATACATATCAGTGTGTTTCATAATCAGATCAATGATGGCTGAATAACGGCTGTTTTTATTTTGGCCATATTACTATGACACGAAACGCGTGTTTTGATGTAAATAAACAATCTGTTGTATACGCCATTTAGAACTCAAGTTTCAAGGACACGCTTGCGACAACCCCTCCGCTTTAATATGACAAGCACAAAGAGAACTTAACGGGGACTGTGTCATTTTCAATGACTTGTTGTATATATTCTTCTTGAGGACACCTATACTAGTAGTAATCTCGAGGGGCTTATACATATATGGCTGGAGGGTGTGAGTTAGAGTTAGGATTAGAAAGTATTTTCCTCATATTCACTGGAGGTGAAGAGACGTAATGTTGTCATGGATTAATCAGACGATAGTACGTCACAGTGCTACACTTTAATTGTCAGTCATTGCCGCGTTAGGGCATTTTTATTTAGTGGTGGTGTACGTAGCCTTTGGGAGGCATGTATTAAAACCTCTGGAATTCAACACACACGCAATTTTCAACAACAACAAATACATTTTTATTAACAGTATATACACATAGTATTAGGCAACTATGAAAATTCATTGAACTTTCCTCTAATCTATATGTTATGATGAAGGGTTTGCGATAACCCAAAAATTGTCTGATTGTTGTGTACCCAAATATGGTGTATCGATGTTAAAAATTTGTTGGTCCTTAGGTTGCACATGAAGAATGGTATTCAGGACACAAATACTACCATGAACATAGGAAAGTCTTGATAAACTCATGGATCAAGTCCAGGAAAGAGTTGTTAAACAAAGCTCATGCTGTTTTCGCTGATGCTTTTTTAGCTATTGAACTTGAAAGAATTGCTGCCATTAACAGACAAAGACAAAAAGAAATATGTGATCAATTGTATGAAAAGGTATGTGTGAGAGAGTGACTTTCAGTGATATTCAGTTTTTATAGTTAATTTAATATTCCGGTCATGACTAACAGCTCGGGGGCAGACAAGTAATTGTGATATTGCCCAAATCACCATGTGTTATTTATTTTATCACATCGAACAGACATCCACCATGCACAACTACACCTAACATACACCTCTCACACCCACTCTCCCACAAAATAACAACACTATATATACAATTATATTAGTATGCAATATATCTTGTATCTTGCTCAATATCCATTCGGATGGCTAGAGTTCCTTCAAAACTTTGAAGACAACCCCGAAAGCAACAACGGCCGGGACAGCAGTAGTGCATCGAACGACAACTTGTTTGCGCAATAGTTTCAGTGACATCATGCATGTGATATACCATGTAATATCAACTTGGCAGGCAATATACCGTGTAATATCCAGTTTTATTCAATGTCATGTGACTGAGTCTCAACCAATCACAGCCTATGTAACAACAGTGAGATGTGATAAATTCATAAAGAAACCACACTCACTTGGTATGTTTTTGTCAGGTTAAACTATGGAGGGAAGAGAAAATGGAGGAGATGAAGCTGCAAGCAGAAATAGAAGCCAGGAGACAACAGGAACTAAATCATGAAAAGAAGATACAAAATGAAAAGGACAAAAAAAAGAGACAAGAAGAAAAAAGAAAGGTGTGGAAAATGTTATCCATCTGTAAGAGAAATGTCTCTACACAGTTTTACTATACATAAGTTTTGACTAGACATTGAAAAAATAAATTCAATTGATGTTAATTAATTTTGAATATAGTACGACAATTCTGACACAATAAGGGTACCGGTAACAATCAATTTCATGAATCAAAAAGATTAACCATTACAGGGCAACCATCACACATTTGTTCACACAAATAATTAATTTTGTTAAAAATCCCTAGAATTTGACCAAAGCGTGTATGAAACTCTCAACATTTCTAGCTATAGTTCTGTATTGCTTGGACAGAACAGAATGGAACAGCATTGGACAGAATTTCCAGTTTTGTCTAAATTCAGACTATGATGATGTTTATCAGAGCTGATCATTATGATGGCTACAACTTGTTCAGTATAGGTTCTATGCAATGCATGTAAAATGTGTTATGTTATCACGTAATTCATCTGCTGCACAATGACTGTAGCAGGTTTCAAAAGTTGTCAGGGTTGATGATATGTAAGTTAACTAATAATATGCACCTATAGTACATCCACAGTCCCTCAGTGTTGATTGATCCTAATCATTAATGTGTGGACATGCACGGGACTGTTCGGACAGGCTCAGGAGCCAATGGGGGGAAATAAGTGACGTGCATGGCAACAATCCTTGTATTGTATAATGTTTGTGGATACGTTTTTTTCTTTATTTAAACTACATTATTACGAAAATAAAAACAATTGATTTATAGCCTACGAAAATACTGCTTACCGACCCTCTCTGTACTACACACGAGATTTATCATACTCTGTACTGTACAAATGAAAAGAGAAATACCATACACGAGATACTCTTAACTACGCATTCTCGATACAAACAGAAAATTCAAAGATATTACAATATCCTTAGGATATCAATTTCATTGCACATATACGTAGCATTGTCACCCCTATTGATCAAATGATATTGTCCTATTGTTGAATTCTATCTAACATTAGTAAACAAAATGGCGGACTTGACTCGCCGAAGTGTCCACAGGCATCGATCATAAAAAGTGTGGATATAGCTGCTAGAATTCGCGACTGTTTTAAATTTTGAGCATAAACAAACATACAGTCAATGTAATATCAAGGATTGCTGCCACTGCCCAGACAGTCCCACGCGTGTCCACGCATTAATTAGTAGGACCCATGTTGAGGGACTGTGGTGGTGAAAAGTTATTAATATGCAAATTACCTAATTAATAGTCACATACAGTACATATTTTGTGGAAGGTGACAATAGTTGTCAATGGTGGTGGAGGGGTTGGTGATATGCAAAGACTACACATAACTATTTTGTGGAAGGTGACAAAAGTAGACAATAGTGGTGAAAATGTTATTGACATGCAAATTAATATACACGTACAGTACATATAACTATGTGAACAAATATTTACAAATGAATAGTGGTGGGTAAATAGTGGTAAAAAGTCTAATTTCTATAATATTTGTTGTAGATTGGAGTGTACCAGTCTAAATTGAATGCTGAAAGAGAAGAAAGGCAAGAGAGAGATCGTAAAAGACTACAAGAGCTGCAAATAAAATTGGCTGAACAAGCAGAATATGATAAGAACCGGTAGGAGTAATTTGCCATTGTATTCAGTAAATCTGAATGTCACTAGAAGCGACAACATTTGTAATTATTTTATAAGAGCTCATGTTGTTTTCGTAACTCATCGTAATGATTTTGTTGACATTGGATTAATTGCTATACATAAACAGAGTTGATAATAAATACTTAGACTGGTGTAATAATATTTGCATCAACAAAATTATTTGAAGAATTATGAAACCAAAATAATGCGCTTTGCACGGGCGCTGGAAACATTTTGTGCAACCCACTTTCATTTTTAGTCCCCGTTCAGACGCAGTCCGAAAACGAGGACTTATGATTTGACCGGACCTGTATCTTAGAAATGCCTGGACCAATCACAACCAAACTTTACACATACATATGCACATCAATTAGTTTCTTGGTCTGATGAAGATGGCCGAATGGACGCCATTTTTGTGCTAAAAAAGTCATCAAAATCAAGCATTTTTGGGCTGTTTACTGATGGATTTTGTTCAAACTTGGTATATTCATTGAAAATTATAGGACCTTAATGCACATCGTTTTGTTTTTCAGATAGGATTCAAAATGGCCGACTGGCGGCCATTTTGTTTTAATGAATGTGGTTCTAGTGCCATATGTTCAAATTTTAAATATTCATTATACATCATGTCTTAGATATACAAATATATTGGATGGACGAATGGTGGCCATTTTTGTGCTAAAAATCATCAAATATCAAGCATTTCTGGATGGATTTTGTTCAAACTTGGTACATACATTAGACATTACGGGTTCCTGATGCACGTCATTTTATTTTTCAGATCGGATTCAGAATAGCTGACTAGTGGCCATTTTGTTTTAATGAATGGGCTTCCAGAGCCATATCTCTTAAATGCTTCGACTGATTATACATGTATTCAAAATGGCTGATTTTGTTTTATTTAATGCTGTTCCAGAACAATATCTCTCAATACTTGTTTGATGATCAGATACAAATGTCAATCATTTTCCTGACATGTTTATGTTCCAGCTATATTACTATAAACAAAACTATATATCTTAAATTCGGGGACTGTGCCATGCATGGCTTGTTTCATATTCTTAGATATGCAAATGAAGAACAATGAACCATTTTTTATGGTAACTGTATGTAAATTGCCAACATTGAAACTATAAACCTTGCAGAGGTCATGGTGTGTTGAGTGTATAATTTATTTTGTTTTTTACCTTGCCCGTACCATCAAAGATGGAAAGGAAAGGTATATTAAGGGAAACATTTTGTACGGCGTTGTCGTTGTTGTCGTTAATAATTGTTATTGTGTGCATAATAACTTTACTAATTCTATTCCAAACTTGGTCACCTTATTCATCAGTATAAATTCTTCCCTGAGTTTGAACAACAGATGTCCTGTATGAAAATATCATGCAAAAATTGAGAAAATCTGATAAAATATTTTGACTGTTTCTACTTGACTGATCACTGGTGATACACATGAAAGGTCACTGATCTTAGTGGAAATATGCATTGTTGTATGTGTTCAATGAAGCAAATGATTTATTTGGTAATGTATCCCCCAAATCCCATGGGAATACTATATTGGGTTTCAAAACCAACTCATGGAGAGATTGCACAGTCTGATACACATTTGCAAACCTACCAATAAAATCTTTTCTTAAAATCAATATAACCACTCCTACGAACTGGGTGCCAAACTTTGATCAAGATCTGAAGCTAATAGAAAAGCTGTTTAGTTCAAAGTTATCAAATCAAAAACAATACATAAAAAGCAAAACGTTTCATCCACATTTTGAAAAGAAAATTGTTCTGAAATATATGTATTCTGTATTTGACAAACAGTTCATTTTACAAATGAAAACTCACAGGAATATGTTTCAGCTATTAGAACATAATACTAGTTTAAAAACTCACTTCAAAAACAAAGCTTGCAGTGTTTGAAGATGTAGATTCTCAGGAGGCAACAGTACTGTTGACTTCTCTCTCCACTGGACACCAACTAACTATTTAATTTGATTTGCATACAAAGCAGAGCTTGCAACATGATAGCTATTCATAGAGGGTGTTTTTTTTTTACTTTTCATATAATACAGTAGTCACACAATGAGGCAGTTCATATTTGTCTCAGTGAATCATTAATTTTTGACAGACACCTGTACAAAAGGCAGCTAAGATTTTCTGTTATCTTGCATGTTTTATGAATCTATTCACGTCTAAATGCAGCACTTTTTTTCATACTAAAATATCTGAATTACTTTGAATAAAGCTGGAAATTATGTCCCTTAAAATAATTAAACAAATTAGGCACCAATGTTTTTGTAAGATATTTACATCTTTTAAGGACATTCGGTAGACTGATTCCCCACTGTTAGTTCAACCCCAAAACTTGTTTGTACCGTAAAAATCCGCAAATAAGCGCCACCCTCAATTAAGAGCCACTCAGTGAATTTTTGTTACATTTGACCCTCCATTAAGAGCCACCAAGAGTTGAGTGGTTTTGTCAATAAGAAACCAGAAATAAGCGCCAGCC